CGATGCGGGTGTTCAGTGTTATGGGCAAAGTACTGCCTTCTCTTCTAATGAGAGGAAAAGGCTCCTTCCTCTTTGCCCGAGCCGGAGGATCTGCACCCCCCTCCCGCCCCCGCACAGCACGAGGCGACCCTCTTGGGCACACTCTCCCTCCTCCCCTCCACCCCTGGGCTTCTCGAGATCAAACGCTCATTTTGGAGTCCACCTGCCCGCATGCCAGCCTGTCCCCCTCCCCCCAGCACACACGTGTAAAACAGGTGTGTGTGTGTGTGTGTGTGTGTGTGTGCGCGCGCGCGCGGGGGCGGGGGGGAGCGGGGGTCCCCTCATTGGTGCTTGCCCCAATGAGGTCTATTTAACAGGGATGCTGGAGATTTCTGTCTAGCGGGCAGATGGGAAAGTGATCGACTCCATTTTAAATAAATTCCTCCTAGATCAGAAAATGTCCTCAGGCCTCTATGGGAAGAGCTGCACAGTGATTCAGCGAGCAAGTCCACACACTGTGCTTGTCCGGCTCCTCTCCGTCCCCCTACACCTCTCCTTCCTATTAGAAAAACCTTACGGTTTTCTTAGCCATAAGGTGGAGGGCTAAGAGTGGTCCCTGCTTCATAGGGCTGTGAGTTTTAAAAGAATTAATGTACATATAAGCACTCAGAACAGTACCACACATTCTAAGCTAATACCTCTTAGCCTCCTCCCCCTCCCCCTCCCCCCTCTCCTCCTCCCCCCCTCTCCTCCTCCTCCTCTTCCTCCTTCCTGTCTCTCTCTCTCTCTCCACATCAGCAATGGGGCAGACTTTTATTTAAAAGGCTAGTGTTCAAATACTATTCTCAAATAGCTCGGTAGATAGAAATGCAGTAATATCTCAGGGTTGTATACATAAGCACAGGAGCTGAAGGCCAGCTCACACAGGGATATTTAATCCTCTGCTGCTGGAGTAACCTCATGGGTGTGTCTGGACCATACTCCCAACACACACACACACACACACACACACACACACACACACACACACTGCTCTTTGCCTGGCAACAGAACATGAAACATTCGCTTGTTACTGAACTTGAGCAATATCGCTGCAGAGACATCTGGATGGGCTTCTTCACTATCTACCTGGCCCAATTTAAAAGATGTTTGTAGCTCTAGTTTGTACACATTTCATAGGTATTTTGAACAATAAACCATCTATTGTCCCATTATTTTTAAAATGGCAGTTCTTGGAGTGCAAACAAGGCATTAAGATATTCTCAGATGAAGCTACATTAAGGAGTACTCCTGGAAGTTAAGCAAACCTAGTTCTTTTTTTACTGAAACAGTAGCATCAAGTAGAATGTCTATTGTGAAGAATAGTTTCATTTGCTTCCCCATGAAGCCAACTTTTTCTGAATTGATATAATTTTAAAACTAAGATGGCAAAAATAAAACATACACCTTAAGATACTATAAAACTTGAAATAATGTCAAGTTAAACTCCCCCCCACACACACACACATAATTATGGAATGGAATAGTTCTGATCCGCCCCCCCAAAAAGGACACTGTAACAGGGTCTAAGGGAAAAATAAACCAGAACTCTGAGTATTCATAGCACTACACAGACTTGTTAGCACAGAATACCACACAATAATGTGTCACACAGAAATATCGTGAGAGTAACTAGCTGGGGACTAACACTTTCAGCAACTGAGCTCCTAGGTAAAAAAATATGTTAAAAGCTTGTAATATCAACAAGGCCCCCTTACCTCAAAAAGGAATAAAGACTGCATGCATGCGTCTATTACAGACACGATATTCGGCAGATAAAAATAATACCCTCCACAATCCCTCAATTGGGGCGAAACCTGTTTTTCACAGCTAAACCTGCGAAAGATTAAGAGAGTGAAACAAACTCACCTATAACTATGGCATCTCCTACATTTGAATGACAAGTATGTCCAACCTGATGCTATATGTTTAAACATTGAAAATGGAAACAAAAGGCAAAATTATGATCCTTAAAACGTGAAGAAAAAACCCCAACACATGATTTAAAGGCAAGTAGGTGTGATTCTGATTATTATTATATTATATACGACATAATCCACAGAAAGAAAGGCCAAGAAAAGCATCTTCATTTTGTATGGTACTAAGGCTTGATGTTGTTCTAGGTAAAAGTAATAATTCAATGAAGGTGTCACACATGTAACTGAAAGAGCTGGGTTGTCTAGGCCCTTCTGGTTTCAAATGAATTTATTTAACAACCATCTTCCTTGACTAGCTTTTCTCCTGTGTCAAACAAACCTATGTACAGGACCAGTTTAAATCCCTTCTCCCTTTCAAACACTGGATATGAGCATCCAGGAACTTCTACTACAATGCAAAGTGCCTAAGAAAGAGAAGGGGCCCTAACCGGTTTGGCTCAGTGGATAGAGCGTTGGCCTGCGGACTCAAGGGTCTCAGGTTCGATTCAGGTCAAGGGCATGTACCTTGGTTGTGGGCACATCCCCAGTAGGGAGTGTGCAGGAGACAGCTGGTCGATGTTTCTCTCTCATCGATGTTTCTAACTCTCTATCCCTCGCCCTTCCTGTCTGTAAAAAAATCAATAAAATATATTTTTAAAAAAAGAAAGAGAAGGGTTCTGTAGTCACTGACATAACTAATCTGAGGAGGCTGAGATGCAATTAACGCTGATGGGAGCCAGGCAGTGGTGGTTTGTTCCTCCTCAAGTTTCTCCGACAACTGCATGGTCAGTTCATGGAGGGGTCTGCAGAAAATCAAACACGTGGTGGCAGGAGATGGCACTGTCAGAGTGCACAAAGCCCCCATCTGTATCCAGGAGTGAACATTGGCTAACTTTGGCAGGGAAACCTTGAGGAGTTGGTTAACCTTGGCATTTTTTTTATTTTTATATTTTGCCTCAAAGAGTTGGGCTTCTCACCTGTAAGTAACAACCCCAATGTAATGATTTTGTCCTGTGGCTGCCTTGTGTTGATAAGTTGTAGGATTCCACCTGCTACTTCTGCTATATTTTCATGGTTCCTACCCAGACAACAAAGACCAGGTTTAATATTCTCCAGTTCTCCATTAGAGGAGATACAAAACATGTATCTCCTCTAATTCCAAAATTCAGTGCCTGGAGTGGGGGAGCGGGGGTAGGGAAAGTTCTCCCCCTATGTTATATCGCTGCATTAACTGCAGCATGGAGTCCCCCACAGCCAGCACATCAGGCTCTTTGTCTTCACAGTCCAGGACAAATCTGTTGTGCTGAGTCATCCATCTGTCATCTCCTGCCTGTGGAATGGCTGCTGGGTTTGAGTCTCCTTGGCTCATCCCACACTCAGGCAGAGGGTCCATGCCGGCACAATCTGGGGGTGGCGCATCGGTCAAGCTCCCCCAGTCCAGGGATCCCCACTCCGCGGCTGAGTGCCGTACCCTTTAACTCTTAGCATCCATTTTGAGGGTTCTCTTGCAATCTCGTGAAGCACAGAGAAGAAAGTGCTTTGAATAGAATTATCAATATTATATGAAAGGGAAGGTCAAGAAAACCTTAATCACCCAAAAGATGGTGGACACCTTCCACCTCCACCTCCACCCTCATGTTTAATGAAAAATTAAACAGAAGTAAGAGTATCACAAGCAAAAGAAAATCCAACAAAGTCTAATTTTTCCTGTGGTTATAACTTTTATGCTTTAAAAATATGTATTTTTTTAATGGATTGCTCAGGCTTTGCTGATGCCTGAAGCAATGCTTAATCTGCCTACTAGATAACCCAGCTTTCAATCTCCTGTTGACTTCTCTTTTTTTAAAAAAATATATATTTTATTGATTTTTTACAGAGAGGAAGGGAGAGAGACAGAGAGTTAAAAACATTGATCAGCTGCCTCCTGCACACTCCCTACTGGAGATGTGCCCACAACCAAGGTACATGCCCTTGACCTGAATCGAAACTGGGACCTTTCAGTCCGCAGACCTACACTCTATCCACTGAGCCAAACCGGTGATGGCCTGTTGACTTCTCTTGAAGACCCAGGATATCTGACTATACTTTCAATCAACTGCTGTTAGCTCAGGCAAATCAGAAAGTGTTAAAATTATGCCAACTGACGGTGGTGGCTGGGGGGAGAGTTTATGATGACAAACGATGTCTTGGATAATTTCTTTACAAGTGCAGGAAGCCTTTGAAAGGTGAAGATGTGACACAAACGATGGGTCAGAGAAGGCAGTTCTACAGATGGTTTACACAAAAATGATTGAAGAAAGCAGCTTTCTGAAGATGCATTGTGATTTGAAAAGAAAACTTATTAGTGGTAGTTCCCCAAGCTCAGATCACAGATCGTGCAGAATCACCAAGGAGTGCTTGTTAAACCCACACGTTCTCCAAGTCTACGGAGTAAGGATCTCTGAGGGATGCACCTGGAAACTGCAGCTTTTACAAGTTTCCCAGGAAATTTTTAAACACATTGGAGCCCTAGAGCAGTGGTTTTTAGACCATTTTTTAAAGGTCACAGGCTCTTAATCTTGGGCAGGG